ACACACACACACACACACACACACACACACACACACACACACACACATGCGCACAAAAAAATACAGTCGAAATGAGAACTTCTTTTTTTAAGTCGGTTAACAAGATAAAGTGTTGGTTTGATAGTAAGATACGTCTTTCTTACTTATTACTTAATTACTTAATCACTCTTCATTACTTAATCAAATCCTCAATAAAAATTCTTCAAATCTTATGATTTTCGATGATTTTTAGTAAAATAATAAAGAAAGTTAACATGAAAAATATAGAAGGTACGTTTTCAAAAGTATTAATTTTAATGATTAAACGGTATTGCTATGTTGTTACATAATTACAGCTACTACACATATCTATAATGTTAACAATTTAATAATCTACTTATTCCATACGAAGTTATTTCAAAAATACGTTGAGAAATAAACATGGAAATAATAATTACAAAAACGATATAAACAGTAAAAGATGCAGGTAAACTGTACGTTTTTGATCCTTATTTTTATCGATCTAAACTACTGGATCTACAATCCTATTTAAATATTAACCTAGCAACATTTCGTTACGATATAAATTTTTGGGTACGCAACACTTTTTGTTAGTGTCAAACAAACAAATCCTCAGCTAATCGATACATGTCTGCTTTGAATTTGATAAAATATTTTTGAAATAAAATCGTGCACTATTACTTCAATACGTGAATGTTTCAAATAATGTTAGTTTTTGGTCCCAATACGATTTAATTGACATATTTGGAGTGCCGGTACGTATTGTCATCGTTAAAGTTACGTAAAAAATTAATTACATTCTTCCTGTGCAAAAGTAAGTTTTTAAAAGTTAAGTTTACACCAAATTTGTTTACACTTTTGTCATGCAACTGGGCACTGGGCTATGTTCTGATAATGACCTATTATTTCAAAAGAAATCTAACAGCGATGTTTATGAACAGTGACGATAACAGCTGTGCACCACAGAACCTACTTGAAATTTGTACAAAATTAAATTCACGTACGGTAATTAATTTTAGATCATATAAAATAATTATAATGGAAATAATTATTTGTGGGGAACATGTGTGTCAATTAAAATAAGATTTCGTTGTTGATATTTAATTTGTTTAGCATAAATCTCTACCATAAAATTGATGTTTGAATTTCTTTTACTTTTTATTCAACAGATCAGGAAACTTTAAAAAAAAATGGCCAAAGCAGTACAGGAAAACCAGTCTCCTCCACCTCAAACCTTTAAGTGAGTATAACATTCTATTATGTACTCAAGATTTATTGCATCCTTTTTTAAATCATCATCTACAAGAATATTATTTAGTTTTAAACCTTTTGAGGGCCAATTTAAGACAGAATTGCAATGTTGTGCTATTATTACTTGAAATTCATGCTTAAATTTTCATGAAAAATAAAGACAAATGAGTTGTACATTTTATCTAAAAATGTATTAATATTGCAGAAATAAGCATTTAATAACAATGATGATAAGGAATAATAAGACATGATAAAGAATATACCATTTTACGAATGACATGTTGCAGTACAGTAAGGTCCTTGCAAAAATGAGATAATTATATTATTAGAGCAGATACGCCATTTCTTTCATCTGAAAATTATTCTATCAAAATACATCTGCACACTGGTGCAACTCATGTTACCTATAAATACAAACTCTTGTTTATAAACTCATGTTTTTATCAGCCTAATAATTGTAGTAGTATTTCAAACATCATGCACCTGGTATGACTGACGGTAGGTATTTATTAATTAATGAGAATTTGTTGGCACTATGTAACTAATTTTCAAAAAGGTTCTGTTTCTGGTTTGACAGTTTTGGTTTCTATTTAATGGAGCAGTATGTATTCTAGAACAGAATACATACTCTGAAAACTTTGCAATTATGGTATTTATCTAATCTCGCAATTGTACACATTTCTTTGTCACCAATTTGTGGAATTTTAGTTAAAATACTGGTTATAATAATTTAATGGTACCCTTTTTGTCTTCAAATAAAGAGAAACAATTTTAACTTTTCGGTGCCCTGACTACAAAAGCAAAGTTTTTGCAGAGAAATAAAGTTTTTCATGTTTTTATGTTAGAAACAATTTGAAAATGATATTGATATAATCCAGAAAATATTTTTTTTCCATTACTATTCTCCTGTATGTAGAATTATTTTCTTCTTTTACTATTCGTTACAAAATAGAGTTAATTGTATGTTTGTCTTAAATGGTTATCATTAAAAAGTGACATAAAAAAGAATGGATACTGTAGTTCATCAGATTAATGGCCAAAATTCAGCACAGCATTACATTAGATAAAGCTCAACCAAATACATAAATATGTCTTTTGGTTTTTAGTGGTATACTTATTTCTGGAAGACATATTATGTACTTTTATTTTCAGTGAATTTACTTATTGTTACCACACATTTTTTATGTGAACATCGTATTTAATATGTATAATGAAATAGAGGTTATATCAATTCACACAGACATCTGAATAACATTCACACTACAGTCTTTAAATGTGTATATATGCGGTGACATCAATTTAGTTCAATTGATGTATTCCATGTCTTTATTATAGATGATATGTAGCCAAACATTACGTGATGTATAATAATATGGTAATGGTGATAATCTGCACTAAAAATACCACCTTGTGTTTTTAATATAACGGGCCAAAGCGAGGTGCATACTAACTGTCAAAATGATCTTTTGCAATTTGAACCTTATGACGTCGTTCATATATATTTTTCAAATAATGGCACTTTATGTACAGTCAATGTATTGTATCTATCTATAATATATTGTATCCATGTGTACCATAAAATGTAGTAATAAGCGACTATGTACCTAAATAGAAATATACTAAGAGATTTTTGTCTAATTTATTCAGTAGCATAACCTTGTATATTATTTAAACTATAATTTATGTAAATGAGAGAGTTCTTTTATTAGTTGTAGTGCAAACATCGCATTGCAGTTTTAACTTAGTTGTCTATGTAAGAAGATAGTTTTCAAAATAATTTCTGTCAGGCATATGTGTTTGAAAATAAATTTGATGTTTTGTGCACAAACAATGCAATTAAGATCAATAAGAATGTTTTCCTGTTGGCTTAATATGTCAATAAAGAAAACATCGTGGCTTTTTAAGATACACATGGATGGGTTCTTTTCCGGGGCAATAGATTAGAAATAACCGAAGATAAGGTCCAAGAAATCATAATATCCTAATCCTTATCGGAGATCGTTGCCATAAATTATTTGACTGTTTATGAAATTGACACAATCCATCTACGTGATTGTATAATAAAGGTACTTATTCAAATGGATTATTCTAGTTATAATATTCTCAAACTGAAGTGTTATTCTAAGATATGACTTTATTTATTTTTTGAACTACTCTGCTGTCACTTAAGGAACAGTTTTCTGTCATGAAGAATATGATACCTTAACTGTTTGCAGTTTGCACAGTGCGTTTTTGCCGGTGGAATCATATATATATAAATATATGTAAATGTAGTAGATATGCTTTAGTAGCAGTAGAGCTCCTTGTGAAAGAGTTTGTCCAGGAAAGTATCTTATCTATTTCTGCCGCCAATCAGTAATGCTGTCCGGTTTTAAGGGGTAAGGGTGTTGGTGAACTTGCAGACACATGAGACTTGTCAACTTATGTTTCAAGGTCAGTCAGTGCCCCCTCTGATTTTTGCGATTCAAGGCTCTGAGTGGTGCTGCTATGGACAGGCGTAGGCATGTCGGTTACCACCGGGTGCACCACTTGTTCGTCCTGTCACTTGTAGGGCTAGCACGACTTGCGCGAGAGCGACATAAAGCGCGACATAATGCGAGAATAGCAGTATTTTACACTTTATGCCGCTCTAAACCTATGTAATATCTAAGCATAAATGAGAAAGTTCATCGTCAAGCCGCCAATAGGAATTAAAATTATTGTATAGTCAGAAGAAAAGGTAAACAAGAGGAAAGGAAAGGGAACATGCTGTGACAAAAATAAATATAATAACAGGTACAACACAGTATAAAACACTCTCTTACTACGCATTAACAAACCTGACATTTACTCCAAAAGGGCCTGTACACATATATTATGCTTTAAAACAGTTAGATTACCTGAGGTTAACGTGATGGATCTATCCGCACGTCCTCACTCTTCGAGAATTTGTTGAAAAGTGAGAATGACGATGCAAAAAGAATGATTCAAAATTTGGAAAGTAAATGGCCAGGAACCAGAGAAAAGGGTGATAAAAAGGTAGGATGACGATGAACAAGGTCGCATCGTCACACACTAAATTAACCCATTCGATCTGCTATACGTAAGTATTTAGTTAGATTATCATTTATCAGTCATTCAAATAGTTCGTTTCCTTAACAGCTTACTGCCGAAGATCATCAACGGCGGCATAGCAGGCATAGTAGGGGTCTCAGTGGTCTTCCCGTTGGACCTGGTCAAAACTCGTCTGCAAAACCAAACCATCGGCCCCAATGGCGAGAAGCAATACAAAAGCATGTAAGTATCTAAATTTATTTGAAGGGATCGTAGGTAAAATTCGATTTGTTTACCAGAATATTACACCTCAAATAACTTATAGCTTAACAAATAGCTCGGTAATGAGTACCCGGCTTACGCTGAAATGATCCGGTCAGTCTACGTTTCGTAACAAATTCTATCAGCTATCAGCGCAATAGTGGTGAAACCCACATTAAATTTTTGTTCTAAGTACAATATTACTTTCATGTCAATTTAACACGAATGAAACGCAACAAACAAATGAACTTATTAATTAACAAATTAATATTCAGATAGATACACTCCGTTACCACATGCAGAGTTAGAAATATTCACACATTTATGTTAAGGTAGTAGGTACATAGAACTCATTAATAGGAGTTATATTATGAGCGGCGTTCGTATTGCGATAGAGGAGATAAGCTTTGACTTCTCATTCTTAGCCGCTGATATAATTTTTATGTACAGTACAGAAGGCGTACCGAATGTTACAAATATTAGGTATATTGTGGCAACGTCGAAAACATATTACTTTGCAATGTAATAATGTATTCAAAAAAAGATTCATAAAATTCTGAACCGTTTTTTTATAGTGTTTTCATGGGGAACGCTAGCGTACAATGAAATGTCTTCCATTGCGTACATTTTAATATTGAAAAGAAGACTTTATGGGTCTATTTTTGGTTAAAAATACGGATTTTGAAGGAGAGATATATTAAGAACGAAGAAAAATGTTCGGCCTTTGTTAATAAATTGAAATTATGCCTAATTAATAAATATTACTACAATTTAAGAGTAATATTTTAATGTTAAAACAAAAAATAAGATTATAATAGAATAATAAATAAATCTTTAATTATATTATAAAGTTATACTGTGTTTTTTTTTAATTTTTAATTGAATTACATAATTAAATTCAAACTTTCACAGCCCTTTCATTATATTTGATAATGCAATTTTAGTGACTAACAATTTAAACCGCGGCCTACCTCTGCTCTTACTGTTATCTCTAGTACAGTGGTCATATGTGTAACAATATTTTAATTTTAAGACATGTACCATATGAATACAATAAATATATTGAGTATTGAGAACATTAGCTAGAAATTAGAAATGTTATATATATTTGTCGTTTATCTAACGACTTCCACGCTTCATTTTTATCAGACGCATGCGCTAGCTTGAAATTAAAGACGAAGAACTTGTTGCCATAACAACTTATAATTTAAATATACAAATTACCTATAGAATCAGGATGAGCGGGACTTGCGTCATTTGCGACATAGCAAATTTATCTACTGCTTCCATATAACGTTCGTTCACTATTCGAATGTATCTGGTTTTTGGAGGCGTCTGAGAAACACGTGGTACACGAGCAGGGTGGGTTCATTTGGATAATGAGGTACGGTAGGTAGTACTGTAATAAATATAACTTAAAAAAAAACTGATCAAAACTTTGTGTAATTATGTCTATTTGCCAAATTTTATTAATATCTATATAATATAATGTGGGTGAAATTAACCGGATTCATCCCCTAATTTGTCACCATTAGAGGTGGAATATATTCTTCAAACTTGAATGGTACCACTACTGACGTACACATTTTCTGCCAAAAAAAGAATCGTGGAAATCGGTTCAGAAATGTTAGAGAAATCACGTTACATACACAAAAAAAATATAACCGAAATGAGAATCTCCTTCTTTTTTTGAAGTCGCTTGAAAAGCAACTCTCCTTCTTGATTACAGTTGCGCTTCTTTAAAAATCGGGTGTTATGACTTGATTTAAAGATTCTTTCACAGTAACAGTAACTTTAACTTTTAGACCCTGAAATATCATTACAATGACAAAACACAACTTCGGTCTTAGTTATAGGCATTGTATTATCTGCACAGGTTGGATTGTTTCCGGAAAACAATGGCGGCGGAAGGATACTTCGGCATGTATCGCGGATCGGCTGTTAACATCTTGCTCATCACGCCGGAGAAGGCTATTAAGTTGGCTGCCAATGACATGTTCCGCTACTACCTCACGCACCCTGATGGGTGAGTGATTCTTTATTATACCTACCCGTAAATTGTTATACAATTCTACGTGCCACACACAGCTCAGTAAGAGCGATGACACACGATGCGTTGCGTCGGCGTTGCGACGCCGTAAAGGTGACGCTCCATTGTATTACATATAAAATTGAGGACTCAACGACACATAGTGCGTTGAAACGGCGCACGGTGACAGCGACATCGGACAAGAGGCCAGGATCCGAAGCGGATAGGGGCGATGCAATGCGAAATTCGGTTACGTTACGTTGCGACAACCCATTGTCGCACTCGGTGCGTTGAAACAATAGCGTTGCGTCAACGCAATGTGGCATCGCTCTAAGGTGAAATCTTTTTACAATTCTGAACCAAAATTAGCACATCGAAACTTTTATGAATTGGTGTTCAGCGAAACAATTATGTTCAATAGATTAGGTGTATCAAGTTGAAACTTAGTAGAAATAGAAATTAGCTTTATACACACGAGGTTTTAGCAATCACTCTGTTGTTTTGAACAAAAGGTTGGCGATATTCTAAAAAAACTTATAGGTAGGCTTCTCCATGTATACCACGGAATGTTGTCTTCATTATTCAACTTTCTTCCAACATCAATGGATCATAAAAGCACAGTTTATGAAAAAAAAACCAATCGAATGCCATAGCGTGATATTTCCCATTACTGACGGTCACCTTCGTTACGTAACGATCGAACGATAGACATATCGGAGATTTTTTCATCGTAAATAACATAGTGGTTGATCTGAAACGAGTTTGCAAAAATGCATAATCTCGAATGATAACGATGATAGTTTTTGATAACGTGAGAGTACAACGTGATACCCTCTTTCACACAAGAGGGGAGATACCTTGCTTAAAGAAAAACTTACTAACTAAAATACTTTGCAATTTGAGATCTTATGAAGGCACCGAATGGTACCACCAGGTCCCTTCCAGCGGTTCGGCAGATGATAGCCGGCGGGTCAGCAGGGGCGTGCCAAATCGTCATCACCACGCCGATGGAGCTCCTAAAGATCCAGATGCAGGACGCCGGAAGGGTCGCTGCGCAAGCTAAAGCTGGTACACTTCACATAAACATCTTAACATTTTGGTTTCTACTTCCTTCTTTTCTTTGGTTTGGTACTGGCTTAATTCACAAACACAGAAGTGTAGTGAGGTAGACTCGGAAGGAGTTACTCCTTTAGGAATTATCACACTTATCGACGCGGAATAAGAGCGTAAAAGACAATGTATGTTTTGCTTCATGTCGTCCGAGCCGAAACAAATCGCACGTCATTTTCGCTCTTATTGCATGAATTTAAAACATTGTTCTGACCGTCTTTAAGTTTGATAATTCACTTTATCGACACGTTTTATAGGCGCGTCAGCCTTCGCAGTTAAACTGCAAAGATACGCTGCCCCCTGTCGTCTCTTCATGCATAGGAACAAAAAAATCTTCGCAAGATAGTGAATTCGTATCAGTTTTTAGAATCTGTTGCAGATTCAAAAGATAAATTGTGTACTCAACTCAAGCTCCAATAATCTTTATTTCATAGATAAGAATTACACTTGAAATCGTCACATCGATTAAATTCCCCTCAGAAGAATTAACACGAAACTCTAAGGATTGCTCCTTGTAAATAAATATTTGCATACATTTATCATTTACAATATTTATTTCAAATGTGATAGATCAAGACAACCTGCAAGAGCTAAAATAATCAATGCCATGGACTTTTGTCCTCCAAATGCACAGAAGCTATATAATAAATTTTAAACTATGGTTTTAAATTTCGTAAATGGCAAATTTAGAATGTCAACCGGAATCTTATTAGATCGCAAATTGCTTCTAGCGATTGTCTCTTGAATGAATTTCTGACTTTGTGAAAACGACTATCTAACAGCAAGAACGGCAAGTTTAATTTTATTCCTCGCGTTAGGCTGCTAACAGATTGAGTCCATGTTTGCAGTTAATGCGTGCAGTCGTAATCAACTTCATGCAGTCGTAGTCTCGACTGCATTCATTAGAGCCGTTACACACAGCGACACTTAACAGCGATGCAGTCGCTAATCGTCTACCTTTACACAAGCACATGATTTTAAAAAGCGCGCGACTGCATCGATACAAAACGCGCGATTGCATCGCTACACTTGGGATTTATAGGCGAAATATATAAATCGCAAGTATAGTTCGCGTGTTTCCCGAACGTGCTTTTGTACCGCTGCTAAAATCGCCGTGTGGAACCACTCTTAACAGCATGCATTCGATCTCGGCTGCACGAACCGACTTCAAAGTTGATTACGACTTCACGCATTAACTGCAAACATGTAGTCAATCTGGTAGTAGCCTTAATGTTACATTTATAACTATTTTTCATAAAAAAAATACTATTCTTCTCTGTAATACTATTCTACTATTCTTCTTAACATAAATAAAATTTTCATAAATGTACTGTGATATCAGTGTGATGTAATTTCTTTAAACTTTCTCAAAGACACTTTGGCGTATTAGTTTTATCTGGTGCTTATACCAACGTCGTGGCCTAAAATTACTTGCATTTCTTTGGTGTGCAAAGTTCTGGTTTTGCCATACTAGAGGGCAGAGAAATCAAGCGCGTGACGGCTATGCAGCTGACACGCAAGCTTCTCGCCGAGCGCGGCATCCTCGGGTTGTACAAAGGCATCGGCGCCACAGCCGCTCGCGACATCTCCTTTTCTGTTATCTACTTCCCAACATTCGCTACCGTCAACGAGCTCGGCCCAAGGGACAAAAATGGCGGGATACCATTCTGGTAAGACTGTTCACCTTGTATTCTGTTATGCCGTTTGTAAAGGATGAAGCCAATGAATGCCCTTATTGTCAGGTGGTCATTCCTGTCTGGTTGCTTGAGCGGCTCAATGGCCGCTCTAGCGGTGAACCCCATGGACGTGGTCAAGACGCGTCTGCAAACCATCACCAAGGGCAAGGGCGAGAGGCAATACTCTGGCATAGTGGACTGTATTGTGTGAGTATTAATTATTATATTATATTTAACTGCCTCCGAGGTCGAACGGTTACCGTGGAGAAATATTTGTATGGCCTACATTTATTTCTCTAGTGAATTTGTGGTTGTCTACGTGTGTGTCCATGGCACCTGCGACACAGGATTTCCCTACTGCGGGGCTATGTTGAGTTAGTGCGTTATTATTATTGTCTACTCTCGTTCTTCGTCGAAACAATTACTGTCAAATAAGTAATACTCGACCAAATCAAAAAACAATGTCAAGTATGAAGCTTCATTCGCATTATACACCTTTTAACTTTTGTCGAGTATAACCTACTTATGTGGCAATAATTGTTTCGGACGCATGTCGGTACAGGAGTCTCGTGAGAGTACAGGGCCTGGCCCAGTCCATTTGGAAACATCACACGTTTCCAATGAATGTAAACCTTCTTCGACATGTAGGTTTCATCACGATGTTTTCCTGTCAAGTTATTGTTACTACATATTCCCAACGCAACACCCCCATAGGAGAAGCAACTGTTTTCCCAATGGGCTACCATCGCATCTATATACAGTGCTTAATATGTCTTTTGTTTTGTGTTGTTATTCCAGGTCCACTTTGAAGCACGAAGGGCCAACGGCTTTCTTCAAAGGCGGCGCCTGCCGTATGATAGTGATTGCACCACTGTTCGGTATCGCCCAGGCAGTCTACTACCTCGGCATCGCCGAATACATGCTCGGACAAAAGTAGACCCTCATACTAGCTAAACTGGATTCAAGTTAAGTTGAACTACGTATTGTTTTCATTAATCGATATTTCAGAAAAACCAACTACATGCGAAACAAGTATTAATTTCGTTTTAACCGAACGGATGCCGTGCAAATATATTTATATCTTCCTATCGCAATTTAAAGGTAGATCCTTATTTTACATAAGTATAAGGTAAACAGTAGTAAAGCAGATTTAGTCCTAATTGTTTTTAAATAATCATACACTTAATCGAATCCCTGCGATTTGAAGCCATAAAACTGCCAAGAGCAAGTATTCCTGGATTTTAGAATATAGGTAATTTCTGCCAGTGTCCTTTTAGGGTGCGTTAGGGTGCTTAGATCTGTACGCACCCTTAGGTTTCTAAATGACTTCCTGATTGACATATTATGTGCTATAGGAGTTATTACTTTTGTTATTACAAGGAGCCGGTACTCCGGTCACGAAGTCCAGTATTAGTGACTTATAACCTACTTTTATAACCTACCTATTGCGTCCCACACTATCTATAGAGGTAGAGTAACTACGTAGGACAGAAATATCTATACAATTTCTACTTTCTACATTGACTTTCGTATGAGAGCAATATCTAATGCAAAGATTTGCAACTTTGCCTTTGAATGACCATCACAGTCACTTGTAAGTTGCCTAAAAGTATGAAGGCATAACTTTTTATTAGTGAAACTGAATGTAGTTTTCACACAAAGCGCTGCATTTGATTGGTGATTAAATGCATTTAATTGGAACAGAAATCTTTATCTAGAATTTTTCCTACATTTCATTGGTAATTTCAATAAACAAACGAGATGAAAACAATGCATATATGAAATTATTAGTTAATATATTAGTGACTTGTGGCTATACTTTTGTTATGTAAGGATTTTTTTATACAAAGCGTTGTTGCTGCACAACTGCGGAATGCGAATGTTTGTATTGAATGAAATCATTGACACTGTTTATGAATATATTATATATAAAGGCTTTAAATATTTACAGTTGTAAGTATTTTTTATTAATTTATTATAATTTCAATTGATATAATATATACATATATATAATTATGCCTATAAAAAATAAATAATTTGATATAGATATATCAAATTATAATAATATAATATACGTGTATAATAAATAAATAATAATTTCATATACACGTTCCATTTTAATTGTTAGGAAAAACTATATCAATGGTTTAAATGTCAATTGACACGCAAGTAAGGGAGGGACATTTGACCGGTTTTCAGAAAAAGCAAAAAACATTTTTTATAAAAAAAAAATATTTGCAATTTGTTCAATTTTCTACTCACTGATATGGACTTTTTGTTTCCTGATAACATATCAGTAGGTAGAAAATTCAACAAGTTACAATTATTATTTTATAAAAAATAGTTTCTTGTTTTTTCTGAAAACCGGCCAAATGTCCTTTACGTCCTTAGACATTCAATCCATAGAAATGGTCGTTCTTTAAGTTTGATCATTTATACAAAAATAATCCGAATCGCTTTATTTATATAAGTTTTTAATATTATTGTATTGTTTCGTAATATTACTTTAACTCGATTATTCTTTATAAGCATTATGCGGGATACATTTAATCGTTCGTGAGCGAAAATATATATTTTTATTTAAAATTAACGTACTATTTGACCATCACGCTAGCTAAATCTGGCCTCGGAATTAAAAATTATCAAAGACTTTATAAACGGCCTTTATCGGCTGCTTAGCTTAATTTACAGAGCCGATAAGTTTTATTTATATGTGCCGATTGATAAAGGTAACTTATGGAGGAATTTGAGGTTAATTCTTGCCCTAATTTATTGTCTATCTAGTAGTATTCGTTGGCTCTGCGTGTGTGTTCTACCGTTTGTATAACTGTGTGTGCTCAGAGGAACTTTTCGAACTGTTGCTTCGTTAACATCTTCGCCCTTCCCGCAATAATAATTGTTGGTGACCAGCCTTGCATTGCATTGGAGCCTCCTTCGTTTTTGTACTTCTTTTTTTTTACAATGTCCATTTTGATTTATAAATTATTTTTCGACTATTTTTGTTTAGTAAAATTTTATGAGTTTTGAATATTAATCAATATTTCAAATTAAACGTATTTTAATCAGCATATAAGATGTTTCCGTCATAGTGCACATACTTATACAGTCCACTCGCCAATAATAATTATAAATAATAACCCTGTATCGCAGGTGCCATGGACACACTAGACAATCACAAATTACGCCCAAACTCACGAGAGAAACAAACGCAGGCCATACAAATATTTCTCCCGACACAGGAATCGAACCCGAGACCTCCGCGTGATAGACCAGCATCCACCGAGGCACTAGACCTTATTTATCTCCAGGTCCTTAACGCCTGGAATATTTAAACCAATCTGGCATCATGTTCGTACCTTCCACGAACCTGCAAGATAGGCAATGGTCTCCGTCCTGAGGAGTTTACTTCGACACGTAGTTGGATACACGTTGCTGGACCGATCGAAGTTGTCTAATGTAGCCAATCTTCGTAGCGAACGTGCACATTGAGAGCACCTGAGTGCACCGCCAACGAAGTTGTAGTTAATGACGGCGCGTGAGTGGGCCTTTATATCTTCGCGTTAAGCATCGAGTTCACATTTACAATCCTCCGCCATTCGGAGCGCAGTACTGCCAAATCTTCCCATTGAGACCGCTCAATATTGTATCTTCTCGTATGTCTTTCACATGCTTCTAACTATCTACATACATGAGGACTTACCCGCCACGTCTCCGCTTCGTCTTTTTAGGTCGACTTGGCGGCCGCTAATAGCGAAACAAACGAAAAACGCCAAATGAGCAAAGAGGAACTTAAGCTGTTCTATACATATCGCACATGACAACTAATATAGTATTATCTCAAAATTGCTTTGAATTATATTAATAGTACCTATTTAATTTCAAAGCGACGGTGTTGTCCTGTCACTTGGAAATTAAATCGTTTACGTATGACATACAAATATAGCGACATTTTGGAGATAAATGATTAATATAACGCAATTTTTGGGATAATACTACTCTGCAGGCCAACTTTATTGCTCTGTTTGTGATCGGGCATTTAAGACAACATTCATTGTGGCGACTCATATTAGGGCACACGCTAGGAAATATTCTCAAAGGGTCGCTGTTATCGAAATCTATAAGGAGGACTATATTCTATTAAGGCGTTCTTCAAAAAGCGAGTGAACAGCGTTGTCAAAATAATAATAACGCGAAATGACCACCACCTATAGAGTAGCTCCTTTGCCTACATTACCTAAAAAAACAAAAAAAACTCTTAAGCAACCATAAGTTACCTATATCTGCGGTAATAACTCCATTTAATGCTAAAGCGTTCCTGTTTGCATTCTACAGACTGTAGTACTACAAGTAGGACTGTACTCTATACAGTCTGTATAGAGTCAATGTCATAACTTTGTTTTTTATCATAATTAAGTTCAAAAGTCTAAAAGGATTTAGTATAATGTTAAGTATATTTTGTTTACTCATGTAGTAAGACGACAATCGATAGCGGAACAATGTGATACTTTTGACGGCGACATAGCGCTCGTATCTATTTGCTTAGTAATCATTAAAGATAACGTCATATTTCAAAGATTACCAAGATTGTAGCTTGCAAAGTTATTGTTCGGTACCGGGTTTTGATGTGTTAACTTTCTAAAATCCACTTTTACTCATTATATATATGTATATATAATGAGTAAAAATTATTATGTATTAATAACTTTATATATATTTATATAAAGTTATTAATACATAACCATTATACTTGAACGCAAATCATGTACAAGTAACTTATTCACAGTTTCTACATCGACATAAAACTTGGCAGAATGTTGATTTCCTACCGAAGCGTCGCAGTTTTTCTTTCTTTTTTGACAACTGCACATTTTCGCTGGCTAAATATTAAGGCTGATTTCACCGCTGTGCGTACGGTCCTTGCGGACTGTCCACGTGCTGGCCATCCGCATGCGTAGAATTCGCAGTGCTCTGAATAGAGTATTTAATTTAGTTCAGATTGTCACGGAAGAGCCTATAATTAATGCATGAATGAATGGGTGGCTTGTGCGGATTTCACCCGGAGCGTATTCCTTATGGCGCAATCTGCGTCACTGTAAAACGATGTTCTAACGCCACACGTGTTATTCTGCTCCGGTACTCCGCGCGGACGGTCCGCAAATAAATCCACGCCGCTCTGAAACCAGCCTGTCATATAATATATTTTCTATAGTCTTCACATGATAATCTTGAGCTCGATGCGACCCGAAATATTTTGAAATTGTGAATTTAGACCCGTTACAATTTTATGTAAAATTATATGTATGTATGTATTCCATTTTCAAATTTCATGCATATCGGTTGAGTAATTGTCATTCCGTTCGTAGATTGTGCAATTTGTGTGAATGCCAAGAAAGCTTTGCTCGCGGAGATTCTAAAATAAGTATAAAAACAAATTTCCATTGATTAAACATTACGTTTGGTGTTCCATAGAGTGTGCATCTCGTGCACATTTGAAGCCGAACTGTCTTAGAACAGTAGTGTCCAAAAAAGTGGATAACGGGCACTGGGTAGATCGCGAGCTATATTTTAGGCGTCCGTGAACATAAAGTCGGACAAAAAATAATTAAGTAGCAAACAGCAAAGTACAGGCTAATTCATACTCCGTTGCTACCGTGATACATTCAGTAAGTCAAGCGCCCCCTTGTTTTGACTCGAGGCATTTTGTTAATGCCAGCTTTAAATCAGATTAAAAAACCTACTTCTGGAAACGAGGCTACAGGTTAATACAGGTCGTAAATCGAGTTTTGTTCAAATCTAATGATATTATTATAAGACTTCAAGTAATTAAGAACAAGACGTACAGAAATATGTTGACAAAAGAGCATGTGTTTAGCATGTACCGCATTACAAACAAGATTTTAAGAAGCAGTCTGAAACTGTGAATATCGAAATATCATAATTAAATGCCCATACTTTGTGTCCGCATTTTGTTTCACCCATTTTAATTATATTTATTAATCATCGAGTATATAAACAGAAATAGAGACGAAATGTCATTTTATTTGTTTGAAAACTATTGTGGGACGGGTGTCGTCAATTATTTCACTTTAAATCGACCAGTTTAACCAGTTGAGTTTTTCTATAGTGGACGAAAATTGAAAAATTGCATAATTTAATATTTAATTACCGATGAAATGTGATTTCGTTTGTTTTGTAATTGGATGTTTTGCTGTTTTTCCCACAGTGTTTGTCAGCACAGAAACACCGTAGTTAAAGATATTATCTTTATTGCAATAAATACAAAATATTTTTGGAATATACGGAGACGTACACACAGGTCAGTTGTTGGCGCTGTACTATTTCAGCTTTCTAATTTGTGGTTTCAGCGCAAACAAGAGTTGATATTTAAAAGTGATATCAGTACCAATTGACTGATGAGTTGCCAGGGATGGTTGACCCTTATCTATTTCTGGTTATATACTCGATGTTATTAATATAACTATCGATCACTTTTACTTTAGTAATAATATCATTAGATTAGAACAAAACTCTATTACGACATATATTTAGTTGTAACCTCGTTTTCAGGCGCAGGTTTATTCACAAAAATATTTGAATATCATGATAGTACAACATCATAATATTCATTATAATGAATATTACCATTGCAATTATTTAATTAACAGACGTCTGTAGTTTTGAAGCCCTTGGTGCAAATCAGGTTGGATACCACTGTCTTAGATGAATATTTCACATTTAAACTTAGATCAAAATCTATGGAAAATAATTATATTGTCATTCACTCATTACGCACTGCTGCTTTGCAA